TGACAGACTGATGGACTGAGTGTGTAATGGGGTGCTGCGGTGTCAGTGCGATGGGGTGAGTGTGTAACAGGGTGATGGAGTGATGGGATGAGTGTGCAATGGGGTATGAGTGTGATGGAGTGCAATAGGGTGAACGTGGGGGTTTAACGGGGGGATGGAGTGACAGGATGGGTGTGCAATGGGGTGATGGGGTGAGTGTGTGATGGGGTGTGAGTGCGATGGGGTGAGTGACTGATGGAGAGGTGGGGCGTGAGCATGTGATGGGGTGAGCGTGAGTGTGCAATGGGACGTGCGAGGGGGTGCAGTGGGGTGAACGTGAGTGTGCAACGGGGTGACAGAGTGACGGGATGGGTGCGTGTGTAACGGGATGCGAGTGTAACGGAGCCATGAGGTGAGCGTGCATGCGCTGGGATGTTGGTGAACGGGAGCCCAGGGCTGTGCAACTCCAGCACTGCAGGTGTGACCGCTGCGGGACGATGCGGGTGTGCGATGTGACGGTGCAGCCGTGCACGGATGTGAGCGTGAGGCTGCGATGCTGCGAGCGTGCGGGGCTGTCGGGGTGCGGCTGTGCCCACGTCGATGCCGCCGCTCCCGATGGACCGGGGTCCGAAGGGGGGTGGGGGTGGGGGGTGGATTCCCGTTGGTTTCCCGCTGCCCCGGGGGGGTCCGCACAGCCCCGGGATGGTGGGAGGGGGGGGGCAGAGAGCGTCCCAGAGCCGCACCCCCCCGTCCCGGCCCAGCCGGACCCCCGCTCCCGCCCCTCAGTGGGCATTGCGAGGCGGTAACGGGCCTTCCCCGCCCCTCCCCCCGACATCGCCGTTAACCGGGAGCAGCCCCGGGCCCGCCGCAGCCCCCTCCCCTCGGTCCTTCCCACCCCCCCCTTCCCCCCCACACCGGTGCCGGTGCTTACGTCGGAGCGCGGCGAGGAGGCAGAGGACGCGGAGCAGCGCCATGGGGGCGGCCCGCTGCCTCCTCCGGTGCCGGTCCCGGTGACGCTGCCCCGGCGCTGTCCCCGGTGCTGCCCGCGCTCTCCGCGGTGCTGGAGCCGGCGGCGGCGGCGGCGGCGGCGGCCCGGGCGGGGCGGCCCCGGGTGGGAGGCGGTGCCGTGCGCTGTGCCGGGGCCGCCCCGCGCCGCTCCGCTCCGCCGCCGTCAGCGCCGCCGTCAGTTGGGGCCGCAGCCGCCCCGCCCCCGCCCCGCCGCCACCGGGAGCACCGGGATGGGGAGTTGGGGGAACACCGGGAACCGGGAGGGAACCGTGCAGCTCCCGGTGTTCCCCGTAGCCGCCCCCGCTCTGTGCTGGCTCGGTACCGGCTGGATCCGGGGGAGAACGTGCACCCGCTCCGCTCCGCTCAGACCCGGACACTCGGGAGGACCCCGCCCGAACCGGGAGCACCGACCTCCGGGACCCCCAAACCGGGACGCCCCAGGCCCCGCCCCCCTCTGGCCCCGCCCCCCAATCCACAAGCCCCGCCCCTCTGCGCTGTTGGCCCCTCCCTCTCCAGGCGCACCGAGCCCCACCCCCTCTTCCGCCCCTCCCTCCGCTCCACGCCGCTGCGATGCGTCACTTCCGGCGCTCGGCACGGCCCCTCTTCTCACGCCGGCGTTTCCGGCGATTGTCCCCGCCCCTTCCGCTCGCGGCGGGAGGGGTCACTTCCGGCGCGCGGGGCCATCCCGCCGCCATCTTGGGCCGGCTCCGGGGTCTGCGGCGGGGCCCGGGGCCGTCGGGGCGGAGCGGGTCCCTCCATGGGAAGATGCAGCGGGCGGGGGCGGAGGAGGCGGCGGGGTCGCAGGCGGCGGCGGGGGGAACCGGGCGGAGCGGGGCCGGGCTGGCGGCGGCGGCCCCGGCCGGGCGGCTCCTGAAACGGGAGCTGCGGCTGCTCGAGTCCATCTTTCACCGCGGCCACGAGCGGTTCCGTATCGGCAGCGCCTGCCCGGACGAGATCAGCTGCGAGTTCGTGCCGGGGGCGGGCGCCAGGGCCGGGGGTTCTGCTTCCCGAGGGCCGCCGCCGGGTCCCGTCCGCATCCACTGCAACATCACGGTGAGGGCCGGGCGGGCGGTTAAACGGGGCCGGGCTGGGCCGCGTGTCGGGGCTGGGGCGGCACCGAACGCCGTTGGGCAGCGGCCTGGGGGAGCCGCGGGGCTCGGGGGGGGGTTGTGCAGCACCGAGGGCGGCTTTGGCCACGCGGAGGTGGGGCGTTTGAGGGATGCCCAGGCCGGGTTGGGCTCTGGGTTCGCTCACCGCCACCCACGGAGCTTCCCGAGGGTTGTGGCTCCAACACGGGGAGCTCGGGGTTCTCTGGAGCAGCACCCCGGTAATGGCAGTGTGAGTGGAAGCTTTTCCTACGACGCTTCCAGCCCTGCGTGAGGAGCAGCACCAGGAGTTATCAGTGCGAGCCCCTCTCTCAGCCCCCACCGAATGCTCCTCGGTGCTGAGATCACGTTGAGCTCCTCCTGAGCTGTCAGAGCAGTGCGATGGGGTTGGGGGTTTTACGATGCTCAGCCCCTTCTCCTTCTTTCCAGGAGTCTTATCCAGCTGTTCCCCCCATCTGGTCCGTGGAGTCGGATGATCCCAACCTGGCAGCTATCCTGGAGAGGCTGGTGGAAGTCAGGAAAGGAAATACGCTGGTGAGAGGTGCTGGTGGGGAGGGATGGGGGGCACAGCTGCTTATAGCGTCAGCATTGAACCTGCTGAGGTGGGCTCTGCTCCCACAGAGGGTTTAGGAATCGCAGCATCGGCAGCTCTGACTCCTGTCAGTGTGCCTTCCCATGCATTCTTACTTGGGATTTTATCCTGCTGAGCTTGGAGGACAGGAAAGAGCATCTGTGGGTTCTTTGCTCGCCTGGGAGGGGGGAGGTGGGAGTGCTGGGGATGGCTGAGGCTCAGCTCCCTGTGCTGCTGTGTTTCTTTGACACCCCTCTGCTCTCTGCGCAGCTTCTGCAGCACCTGAAGCGAATAATTTCAGACCTGTGCAAACTCTACAACCTCCCCCAGCATCCTGATGTGGAAATGTTGGACCAACCTCTGCCGGCAGAACAGGTGAGGAACTCAGGATGAGGATTTCTAGGCTCATTTTGGGAGCTGTGTTGTTTTAGAAGCTGAGGCTTCCTTACCCTGAAGGAGGGCTGCAGCAGGTGAGGGTCTGTCTCTTCTCCCTTGGTGCCTGGGTTGGCTCAGCTTTATCTCTCCAGTTTAATGCCTGGAATTGTTTGAGATGTTTCTTGTCTGATTTCTTCTAACTCACCTCGTTTCCCTCACCTTGTTCCTCTGGAGCTGCTCAGGTTTATAACCTATAAAGGTTCTTGGCTTTGTTCTACTTTTAAATTGCTTCTGTGTGTAAATCTCACCTCAGAAGCGTCCTGGAAAGCAGGGGAGCATTGCCAGAGGAAGCTCACAATGTGATTTTTGTCCTCGCAGAGCACGCAGGAAGAGGTGTCCTCTGAAGAGGAAGATGAAGAGATGCCAGAGGTAAGTGCCTCCTTGCTATGTACCAGGCAGCTGTGAGATATCTGTGAGAGGTGCTGAGGCCCAGAGGTTGTGTTTGGGTGAAGGAGGAGGAGGCCAGACAGGACAAGAGCCCATTGGAGCCAGTTTTGTACAAAATTTGTTTATTCGCAGCATTTTCCTGCTGTGCACCCAAATCCTGGTCACCGAGCAGGGAGTGGTGGGTTGGCAAAACACGAAGGACTGCAGCAG